TAGAGTTATATCACATAAACAACTAAGCCTCATGATAGAATGCTAAACATAAGTAAGAAAAACACAAACATACGGAATGCTAAAGCATAAAAACTCACATGTTTGATGTCCAACGAACAAGCTGCAAACAAAAGTTATAAAATAGCATGATCTTATATACAAAACCCTAATGCAATTCACTCATGAGATGCAACTAAAGATTCGGCTTCTAAAATATGATATGTGAATCATTTCAAGTACATGAGTAGCGCACATAATCACATAGGAATTGATTAAATCCACAAATGCAAACTTAGCCGAATCAAGATGCATGAACATGGATGCAAAGCATAACTATGATGAAAAAAAATAATATGACGTTTATGTACAAATAAAGAAAGCAAGTAAAAGAAACGCGGATAGAAGAAGCGGGGCTGGGAATTATTACAAATAATTACAAACCAAATTAGAGAGGGATGAGAGAATATTTACAACAAAAAAAAACCTCACAATACACTCAAAATAAATAAATAAATTAAATAAAAGCTTCATTTCTTTAGACCGGCGATGGAATGGTCAATATTAGGAGATTTATGCCCTCCTGTTCGAAGAAGCTAACCGATTCCGGCCAAATAGCGGCCGGTGAAACTAGGCCAAGCAAAACCTGTCTTGTGTCGAAACAAGATAAAAGGAACAAAACAAAGAAATGTAGGTGGCTCAACTAACCACTACCGGTAGATTAAAAAAAGAAATAAATATATAAATAAAATACAAAAAGTGCATAACTCACAAACATCTTTTCTCTTCAATTTCGTGGTCCTCCTCCTCTCTTACAATATGATCATTCTATATAGGCAATGAGGGAGAGTAAAGGTCAAAAAGAAGGTGGGAGACAAGAATGTGATAGGAGGGCAAAATTTCAAGGTGGTTGGATGGGATACTCCTTTATGGATGCAAACAAAACATCTTTTTGACTATGGAGGATGGTTAGGTATAATGGAGGATGAGTGGATGCACTTGAATGGCTCAAAGAATAGGTAAATGGGTTGTCCTAACCGAACCAAAACCAAGAAAAATGGGATATTGCTGTTTTGGGTCGAATCAACAAAATCTGCTTTTAAGCCCAACTTCAAATGGGCATATCTCCCCCATATGGACTGGGTTTTAGGCAGTTCTTTGGTCCAAATTGAAGCCCCAAAAGTCTAATTTCCAATGGTGGTGGCCTCACATTTAAATTCCAAGTGTACAAAGAGATATGCCTAATTTGGTGAAGGTTGTCTCGGGCTGGGTCAACAAAATATGCTCTTAAGCTTAACTTCAAATGGGCATATCTCCCTTATTTAGACTTGGTTTAAGGTGGTTCTTGGGTCTAAATTGAAGCCCTAGAAGTATACTTTCCAATGGTGGTGACCTCACATTTAAATTCCAAGTGTACAAAGAGAAATGCCTAATTTAACGAAGGCTGCTCATTTCCTTCTTAATGATTTGATACTCATCCTTTTCCTAAACTAGCTTTCTTTCATCCCCTCCTATTTCCTTCAACTCCAAACCTATAAAGAAGATATTTTTAAATATTTTTCAAAAAGTTCACCTCCCTTCCATTCATTTCCACTTTGCCCTTACTCGGTTTACTGAAAAGTGTAATATTTTAATTGAAATGGGAGCCTTGGGACATCGTAGAAACATTTAAAAAAACATATTTTGAAAAGAGGGCTTTAAGGTCTAAAATATTTTGGCCAAAAAATGGGTGAAGGTTGGGATTAAAACTTAAATTCCATCTTTCTTACTGAGAATTTTGTGAGAAACACATTCTAATTGTCATCATCGGGTAATCAAAAGAAAGCGCCCAAGTCTTAGGGCCGGTCAAAAATGGGGTGTCTACAGTTGCACCTCTTTGATAGAGCTCAAAGTCATTTCATGACGTGAGTGAATGTCAAAGCCCAAAGACGACCCTTTTGACAAGGCCGTAAGACTTGGGCAAATAAACAAGATGCAATACAAGTGGTTGAACCCGAAGGTTGCCTACGTATCCTTTTGCAAGGAATCAAACCAGCGTAGTTCAGGGGCAGAATGGAAGTGACATGCTCAAAATGCAGTTTGAATGTTGGACTTACACGCTTTGCGAAGCCAGTTGTTTGAAAATTCATGATTATGCAATGCAATACAATGCCATGGAGTGATGATAAAGATATGAAGATGACAACAATGAAGAGGCAAGCTTCGTGCAAATGATATGAAACATAACAGGGGGTGCATTGCATTAAACGTGCCACAAGATCACATACAAATATGTCACAACATAATTTTAACCAAGTGAAACAACAGCCTAACGCGTCTCACGCGAAAGGAGGAAAGATGGTGTAAACACCAGACGCACCTGATGTTTTTAACCGAGTAAACTTGCAATCCCAACGCGTTTCATGCGATAGGAGGAATGACGGTATAACCAACAAGCGTACCTAATCGTATCTCATATGGAGAGGAGAAAGGTTTTAACCAAGGAGAACAACAATGGTGTAACCAACAGGCATACCTAACCGTATTTAATACGGAGAGGGGGAAGGTTTTAACCAACGAGAATGACAATGGTGTAACCAACAGGCATACCTAACCGTATTTTATACGGAGAGGAGGAAGGTTTTAACCAGAGAAAATGACAATGGTGTAACCAACAGGCGTATCTCAACGTATTTTATAC